TATAACAATTTAAGGAAAGAGTTGATCTGTGTGGGTTCTTGTGCAGCATAAATACAAATCTCACCTCTATAGTTTCCACTTTAACGGGCTCTGTATTTTTTTCACTAGCGAATCCTATATTAAATGAAAAATATACATGAGGATGGCTTTCTTTCTGGGTCACACACACACACACACACACCATTTGCTAATTGTTAGCTACCAGGTTCCGATGGCTGCTCCACAGCTTTAGACTCAGCCACCACGGTCTGTTCCTCTTGCTCTTCTTCCTCCTCGCATGTCCCATTTTGATGAGTTTGCGCTCTGTCAAAGTAACCACTCTGCAGCACTTTGTCCAGGGTTTCCTTCAGTGACTTGTCTGGAATAAGAGAACACCGAAGCTGTTCAGACTTTCCTATTATCACAAACCACAATGGACGATTAAGGTCTGCCTCCGTTTTCTTACACAGTCAGTACAATCTGCAAGAGAAGTCCTGCAACAGCTGGTATGAGCCAATCTCAGAATTAACCGAGTGAATCAAATGTTGTGTGAAGGGATGAAACAAGAGATACAATAAACTGGGGCCGATCAGATGTCTTGAACAATCTAACTACTAACAATGAGTGCAAGTAAGTTTCCGCCAATGTTCCGCCAATGTTTGGTGCACACACCAAACATTTTCTTTAAGATATTTTTTTTTCTTACTGCACTTAAGATGAAGGCATGAAATAAATATCAACTAGCCACATGTTAAGCCTCTCCATTTTAAGGCATTTTCCACAAGTGCTTTAAATATAGTTTAAAAATAGTTTCTTTTAAAAATAAATAAATAAATAAATAAATAAATAAATAAATGTATGTGTATGGGTGATGAACGATATTAAGACATGAAAATACTTACACGTGGTCCCTGCTACAGCCTTGTCTCGACCCTCAAGCAGTTCCCACAGGTGTAGTGATGCTTCTTCATATTGGTGAGTCAACCTGCAAATCACAAAATAAATGCAATTAATTGCACAGAGTAGTAGTATATAGTTTTTGTAGAGCAGGATTTAAAACAAAAAAAAAAAAAAAAAACACATTTAAGCACTGATAACTCTAAATGTAACTTCTGTACCAGTGACAGCACACAGGTACGCGCGTACCTTACATCGTAGTTCCTCTCAGGTCCTACCAATTTGTAAAACTCATCGAGGGATGAGAGTTCAGCATCAGTGAGCAAAGGTGCACCAGAGGCATCGGGGTGTTTAAGGTCCTGTCTGACACAGTCTTCTCCCAGCTGGTCGAGTAAATACTGAAGCTCCAAAACACTCTTCAATCGTCTTTGTTCAGTCTCTTCTCGCTGCAGCTGTTCCCGTCTTGCAGATTTCTTGACTGCCTTTTGAATCTGAACACATCCAGGCACAATTTCATGCATTTAGCTTCACAAGATAACACACACACCCATTACGTTCACTCTGTACATCACTGCACTTTGAAAAAAAATCAAAAAGGTCAATGAGCATGGTCAAAACAATTATTCGCTTTCCTGTTCACTCCATCTGGCACTTTAAGCTTTTGTGAGCCATTTGGGAGTATTTCATCAATTACACCAGGTGTTGCCAACTGATTGTTTTATGGCAATAAAGAATGTGCGTTACAAAAAATTACTAGGGCAGAGAATGAATAAGGATTTGCAGATGCCACTAAAGAGCACAACAAGTGTCTAAAAGCTTTGCAATTAGGTATTTTAATTATACAGTGGGATGCAAAAGTTTGGGCAACCTTGTTAATAGTCATTATTTTCCTGTATAAATCGTTGGTTGTTACAATAAAAAAAAAAAATTAAAAAAAATGTCAGTTAAATATACCATATAGGAGACACACACACAGTGATATTTGAGCAGTGAAATGAAGTTTATTGGATTTATAGAAAGTAAATGGCCTGTATTTGTATAGCGCTTTACTTTGTCCCCAAGGACCCCAAAGCGCTTTACACATTCAGTCATCCACACAGTCACACACTGGTGATGGCAAGCTACATTGTAGCCACAGCCACCCTGGGGCGAGGCTGCCGGACACTGGCGCCACCGG